CAGATGTTCACTGCAATTTTGCATCTTAAAAGCACCACATGGTTGCTGTGATACGGCAGAGCAGTATGGAATATTAGGCTCCTATCTCCAGCCACGCCAGCCACTATCGAGAATGACCATATATCTTCCCCATCTGCAAATCGAGTTCCAGTATGGATCAAGTCCTAAGAAAATCACCTTTCAATGGTTACTTGAATTCTGACTGTTTCTGTTCATATTACATGCACCTATTCCCATGTTTCATGTTAATGTAGACTTTTGTGAAGTCATTTCTATATTTGTCTGGGGTGATGACCAATTTCTGCCAGCATCATTGATCGGGTTGCACTGATTCGGGGAATAGTATACGATAAAAAGTTGTAGTTGAACTTAGAATATTACATGCAAAATCAAGATGCATACGAGGGGCATGATCCGTGATGCTGACCTCGCCACTCGAATCTCTCAGAAGTCTATTTTCCCAAATTCCCCGCTAAGTTCCTGTTCAGTACCCGTTGTATTGTAATACCATTGTATTCGCTTCATTCGAACCCCTAGTTCATCGTTAATTTTCGATTGTAGGGCGTAGGTAGCATAGCGGCTATTGGCGCACAATCACAGATGAATGGTCGAGCCACGGATGGAATCTGTCCAGCCAACGAAGCTTCCATCCCTCCGTGGGCGGTTAATTGGTACCAGACTCGTCTGGGAGGACGAATGCATTAATTTGCTCATTGTCTGGCCAAGTCGAAAGTACGGCGCATCGCAAAACGAGATTGAACAACTCATTCATCCTTCATCCTTCACTCTCGGTAAAGATTTTTCAAAATTGCAACACTTAGGAGACACGTTCGAAACGTTCATATAATAGAACAGGAAAAACAATATCAAGCAAAGGTCCAGGATATCTTCTCATGACAAGGAGCTAAAATCATCACAACAAAATATCGTTCTCAATTCCGAATTAAGAACTTGTGCTCAAAGCAGTGAAATAAAGGTCATTCAGTTATTTATGGGTTCTTAAATGAGAATTTCAAGGAAGTCCCAGTCGAATCGAATGTTCTATTCACAATTGTAGCTAAATATTGATAATTAAGTGAATCTTAAAATAGAAAAAAGAAACAACTCTTCAAAGGTTGTTAGGCAGTACAGGTCACGGAACAACGGCAGTAGCTGCATAGCCCCGTAAACAACAACATTATTAGAATATAGTTTTTGAAAACAAAAGAAAGCTACAGAGAAAGTGAAAAGTCTAAGCGTAAGCAGTCTAGCAGAACAATTGAACCCTTGAAAACGGGGTTAGAAAATGAAAGCACAACCAGCCTTCCGCTTAGGCTTGCTGCATGGACACGATGTTGAACGCTTTGATAGATGATGCCATTGAAAATCAACGGAATGGACAACTATCCAAGGCGACCTTGTTTTGCTTCAAAGCTTTCTCAAAGTACTTCGGATGTCCAGCAAATCTCAGTTGACGATAACAGCCCGTCAGTGATGTCATCGACAACTTTTCCGCTACCGGTGCTAAAAATGTTTTCTTGGAAAGTTCATATTGATTTCCCAAAAAACGCATTGCAATTGTTACCAGAAACTCCAGCGATGTTCACGGGTAGGTTCA